TAAAAGATATGCTACTATAGTAACAACTAAATGTTAAAAGTCAAAATTGTTCTATGCAAAATTATAAATTCTATTATGAAAACACGCTCGCTAAATTACAAATCGTATATCTTCGTTTAGAATTAAGTCAGACGTAAGCTAATTACGAATAAAAATCGAATATATTTCTTAATAAATAAACGAATATTCCTTTAATATAGCTTTTGCGAGGTGTGAATTTTATATTATTGGATTAATTTGAATGCTTTAACTTCATTTTCCACCCCCATCTTTTTATCAATAAGTCTAAGTCTAGGAGCAGATGTTAGAGTTCGCAGACGAGATGAGTTGCACCTGTCAACTCCTTAAGAAGATAAGTAAACACGAACACTTGAAGAATATCACAAGATATGAGGTTTTGATACTATATATACAGATATGCAGCTTTACTTCCTCTTCGTGACTTCTACGCTGAGCCAGAACTAAATTGGAAGCTTAAGTTTATGACGCCAACTTCTCTATTGAAATTTTGGGAGATAAATAGGGTAAAATTTTATTGTGTCATGTTAAAACTCTGTGTAAACATGCTCTTTTCCTTTGTGTAAACGTGTTTTTATGAGTATGGGATCAATACGGGTCATAGAACAAAGTATGCTCGATTTATGCTGATTCCTCAACCATGTGGGAAATTCCTGGTTAATTATAAAAAATTACCTAATCTGTAATCAAATTTTATTGTTAAATTCGTTGCAAATGAGTAAATTATGTAGGAATTTCTTGCAAATTTTTTCTAATTTTAATTATGAACAAATAATGGAGTCATTGCTTACATTACTTTAGTAGAATTTTCTTCACAACGCTTATGAATATGAAATAAATGTTTAACGATCGGGAATGTTTTAACTCATGTTAATTGCAGGTCATATGGTGAAGAGTTTAATGAAACACCCCCTTGTTAAAGCTTAAAAATTTATGTAAAACTTGATACAGATGTTATTTTTATAGCTAGAGTTGCTACATAAAAGCATTTTTTTTTTCTATTAAATCCCTGTACATTTGCTTCATTTAGGCTCTCTTCCAAGAAAAACTTATAAATATTTTGAGAGAATCATCACGTATTGATGTTAGGAAATTTAATTTATTTTGTAAATAGTATAAATTTTTAGCAAAAATTTCTCTGAATCTTCATTATGAATCGTCATGTCAACTTTGAGCATAAACAATTTTACAGATAAATTTTCCCTCAATTTATCTGTAATTTTGAAGATTTAACTTAACTGCTGAGGATTTAGATTCTTAACGATGATTCATGCAAAATACAATTGAACAAAATGCTTTGAATCCCATAGAAAATGCATGCAAAGGGGTTGCAATAGTCAAAGTCCACAGTAAGAAACCGGTTATAATCGATTTTTGGTGTAGAATTACTAGATAAAAACAAACCTTCCATTGCCATAAGTTAAGATGAACGATGCTTAATATATTTTTCTTTAAGGGAGGAACATTTTTGTGAAAAATCATCCGGTTTAAAATTCGTAAATTTTAATACGAATCGATTTTCCTGCACTAGAAGTGTGTGGTGGAGTGGCAATGCACTCGCAAACAGAGGAAGTAGAGAAGAGCAGGAGGAGAGAAAAAAAATCATATCCTCTTGTTCGGTGATGTCTGTTCAATCCAGGTCAGCCGAATTTGACGATTGGCTGACCTTCCATCAGGGAAAAAAGTTATTTTTAAAATATTGCAAGATGTAACATAATACAATACTGGATGAATTAGCACGAAAATTAACATGAAATTAATCATTATTGTATTTGTTTATGATTCGTAAGCATAGGTTTTATGATTTATTTTATTGCTGAAACCTATTTTATATGATTTTTTATAATGTATCGATAGCAGAATATAATAAATTACATATAACTGCAGATGGTTTCGTTAATAAATTTTAATATTTCAGCTTGTAAATTGGTTAATAAATAAATAACGTATCAATAAAACTAATTTTGTTATAAATAACGTTCAGAACGTAATTATCCGTGTACAAATCCCAAAAATTATAAAGGAGCGAGATTAACAACGTGTGAGTTTATATCTCACCAGGAGCTACACGTTTACACTGGTGGTGAGATCAGAACTCGCGCCTTTTGGCATTGTATCCAATTCTCTAGCAGTTGGACACTTTTGCAGATGCAAGTTCAGTTCATACCAGGAACTAATATGTACAGGTTTGCATGTAGCGAGATCTGAACCCACATCTGGTAATTTAATGTTCTAACAGGTTGGATGCTTTCCAAACTGTAGGTTTTGTTCATAACATAAGCTGCCTCCTAGTGAGATCCGAACCCACGTATTTTGGCAATAAATATAATGCTTTAACAGTTGGATACTTTCAAAAACATGGATTCATATAACGAGTCAAACACTTCAGTATATAAGAGCCATTCGAAAAAACTGGGCGTTATTCACTAAATTAGTTCTCACTTATTAAATTTAAAAAGAAATAAACACGCTTAATATTTTTATTTCCAATAAGAAGGGCGTGTAGGAACGAAGCGTAACTAGCGAACCGAATCTGTTTTTATTATTGCATTTTTTTTTTATTTTGTATTTTTTCCTTAATGAATCTCACGTCACACGCGCGACTTTCTTTCACAGAACTGATTCTGAACTTGAATAACAGACTTATAATTAAATCTTTTATGCTAAAATATGCGCTACTTCCGCATATTTTTAATCTAAAATTCTATTTTTAAGTCACCTCCAGAGTAACGAAGCGAGGAGCGATTTTTCTCACTAGTGATGCGCTCTATTGCCGTCGCTTTTGCAAAATCCTTCCATCACGTTTCGTGTAATTTCGTGCATATCAAATTTTAAATTCCACATTCTATTGTTCGTTCGCAACGTGACAGCTAAGTCGGTCGCGACGTGGCGTCGCTTTGTCGCGCGCGACACGGCGAGTCCGCAAGCGACGAATCGCTCTCAGAACGCGACTCTGTTCTCTTAATGATCCTCTTTTAATATATTAAAACGCTACAAAAGACACCGAAAAGAGGTTTAAATGACTACTTTTAGATCATAGAAGATACTTAAAAACCCATAAAAATAGCATCACCTCATTACCTACGTCAATAATTATCCAAGAAGTTCTTTGTGAAAAATACAAAACTCCCCAAGAACTTTCAATTAAACGAGATTTTTATGATTAATCGTACGAGATAATCTGTTAAAAGTATCCGAGATACTCAGAAAAAGTGCTAATGAGTACATTTATCTCGGTAAATCTCTGGTATGCAATTTGTTCTCGCAGCAGCACGCCCCATAGCCGACATCAAACTGCGCCCATCGTTACGTAAATCTTAATGAAATTGACAAAGAATGTCTTCAGATACCCGTAAAAAATTTACTTGGAAACTTAAAATACAAACAAAAGAGCGCGAGATCAAGAGAAACAAAATGGTTATCGCCAAGTTGGAGTATCTTCTATACTCTCAATTGACATACGTGAAAGCTGCAAGTGACGATGCGACAAGCTCAAGTGGTTGTCCCATCGTGGAATGTTTACACAGCTTCGCTTTGACAAGATAAGACACGTACGACTGCTCTTCCCAATCGCCATGATGAATGGATTAGTGTGTCGACTAAGTTGTTGGTCAGAGAAGCCCAACTGGAGAGTTTTATGGCCTCTCTATAAAATAGGAAATACGGAAACTCAGCTATTGACTGTTTATTGGTCGTGATATAGTTCCACTGTATTTTTTTCCCTGCTCTGCTACACGTAATTGAAGCACGAAAGTTCTATAGAAAGTTACGCGCGCCGATAAGCAAAGAAGAAACAAAGTCAATCGAAAAGTGCTCCTTCGACCTACTTATGTACAAAGTTTATATATTATTACTCGTACACACATGTAAATTTTACTTGTATGCTAATTATATCAGAAGAGACGAGAACGTATACGTGTAAATTATAGTTACGTGAGAAATGATGTGAGCAAATTTTACATGTAACTTGCTCATACCAGGAAGATATTTATATATTTTAAGTATATTTCCGCCCTTAAATGTGTAAGAATGCCATTAAGTATGAAGATCATCACTTTTACAAAATTATAAGACCCTCAAAAAATTTACAAGTTTGTATAAGAGACTTTTACCTAACGAATTAAAGAGTTCTATGAGGATTTACAGCGGAGAAAATTATAAAAAAAATGACAATTAACAGCATTAAAATTAGGCGTGTATACGTTTACACAGGAAGCCACACTCGGAGGAAATTACTTATCGCACTAAAACACTCTACTGTCGCAAGCGGAAAAAATTTAAGCACACATCCCGAAGTAGTATTTAATTATCCAAAAAATCTAATATTTTTTCTACAAAATAAAGAAGAGAGTTGACTTACTTAGCTTGAAAATTTAATACGTGTCATTCGTCCATTAACTCAGCATACTCAAGAGTAACACGGGCACATGCTTCACACCGGGGTGAGGAGTATATGTGTTTGTACTCTCTGCCAGTTGCACACCGATGCAAGTGGCGAGCGGCACTTTTACTCCCGAATGTGACGTCACGACTGGTCGTATTCCACTTTTACAATAGGGAGAGAGTACAACGGCAGGATCGCTTTTTACTGCGATACCGGGAAAAAATTGAAGCAATTTCTACCCCAACAGACGAGGGAAGATGTATCTGCCGTATGCACGCTGCTTATGAATTTTGTATATTATTGATTTAGTGATTGCCGGTGAAGTAATGTTGGGGTGTTCTCGAGGTTCGTTATCCGTGGCGATTGTGTTTGTGACAGTGATACCGGCGGCGTAGGTTAATGTATCGTTTGAACAGTTCGTGATTATATGGGTTTTATATAGCTGTGTTTGATATAACAACTTATCAGATATGTACAGGTTAACTTGTATAATATACGTAAACATCCTGAATTTTCTTTCTAACTGCAAACACATGCCGAACACACACCATACTTGCTATAAAAGTCAACATCCCGAATAAATCCCAAAAATACTTACGTGAATACGTTGTAAACGTCCTCGATTATCTATCTAAGCCATTAGTTATCTCGTAAACACCCTAACGTTGCAAACAAACCCTCAATATACCGTCATACAGCTGATATCCCGCGCACACCCATTCAAACTACACATGCCAGTTTCTAGTAGTTGAATGGGTGTGTACAAAATATTTCCATAGCACGTTCCAAAGGGGTTATTTTCGATAGTATAAAGACTTTTCTAAGTACAGGATACGTGTCTTCAATTTAGCAACGTGTTAAATTATAGTCAATGTTTCGATAGGGTTGTATACCTTTACGAGTTAGCACACGCGATGCATATGATAACTGAATTTTTGGAAGAATAAAAGTAATGACCAGTAGCCGGACAAATTGATCGGTTAAATCGATGGAACAGCTAAAAATAATTCTCCCAGTACACGTCATTGTTCTACTATTGGTCGATTTTGAAAACATCACGCGTCTCATTCAGCCATTTATTAGCCAAGATAATTTTTATTGACGTTTATTCACACGTACACCTCGTTTGTTTGTCCTCCTATTTAAAAAGTTCACTGGAGCATCCAAGTTTTTAGATCAGTTTTCAGACATCTGAAAGTGTAGAAGAGAAGATGAATTTATATCCCGCAGCTCTTAATGTAAAAATTTCATAACCCCGTTGGCAAATATTCAGCGTAACAGATGGTTAGTATCAAAACTGTCGCCTGAAACATGACAAATAATGATATTAACTCTACGTAATGCGCCCGTTAACAAGAAAAGTAACAGTAAAACTGAGCTATTGTATGATGGAATACAGTACGTTGCAGGGTATGCATGGGATATTTTTGGGTAGGAGCAATAAATTAGCCTTGAAACTGTTAAAGGAAAGCTACTGACACTATATGAAGATAATCGGTGTTATAATAAAGCTTTCTGCAAGAAGGTGACACTGTAACGAGACCGAATGCGTTATAGAGAGGCAAAACTTTTTGAAGAAAGGCTACCGTGTTACAGAGACTAGTGAAGGCTTAAGAAAGGCTAGCTGTGTTATAAAAATACTTTTGTAGTGAGGCTAGTGACACTAGATATTAATGTAATCATAGATAATGCGATATATTGTCTATGATGCCATAGAAAACACCGCATTGTCTACGATGCCAACAATCAGTCTATGAGATAAACACAGGATATTGCAAGTAAAAAAGCGTGGAGGAATGCTTAGGATAATACACTTAATAAATGCTGCATAGCTAGACTCTCGCAGCTTGAATTTCAGGTTATGCACTTTTCATGACTTGACTCTGCAACGAACATAATCACAGCGCTTTTTTTTATCCTTTTTTATGGAAGATTTGTCACTAAACTTGTATAACTTTCTCTCCTTTTTATAAAAATGGCGTTAGACTCACCATTTTCAACTTTTACATTCTAAAAAAAGGAAAGAATATAAAGTAAACCGAGTCAACTCATGCATTTTAATGTTGCCATCACGAGGGACAATAGGATATGATAGAAGGTTCGACTTAAAAGTAAAGACATGTAACCGCCTCCCGAAGTTTCACGGATCGTTTAGTACAGTTTAAAATAAATTTTTGACCACAATCCGCAGTTTAAAAAGTCATAGAAAACAATAGAATCGAACTGTGAAGAAAGAAGCAAACCCTTTAGCCAGTTTTTAAAAGGTATTTTCAAGGTTAATTTTAAAGAAGATAATTAAATAAATTGCCCGCTAGCATTCGTTAGATATTCTATGATTTAAAGGTATGGTTCACGCTCTGTGTGGGAATAACCCTTTAATACCAAGAACTGAACAACCTTGAACCCTGCTTGACTTGTCAGGACGCAACCTTGAATAAGTAGAATCTAAAATGCGATAGATCCCATGCAGAATTTAAGGAGGTGAATAAATTCAGCTCTGGTAACCCGACAATTTTCAGGTATTCCATCAAAACTGTCAAATTTTGTCAAAGAGAATTAATATTTGTTAATTAACTAGGCATTGAAATTTGTCATTTACTCGAAGAAATATATTAAATTACACCTCTGTGCTATCTCATGGCTAAATATATAGCAATTTGAGACGTATAAAGTCAGCACGGAGCTGATAGAGGACATAGAAATCTTATCTCTGTAAATAATAAATTATTTTATCGTAGGAATGATGTATGCTGTTTCAGGTACAAAGTATTTGCTGTTATAGAAACAATAATTAGTTTCGTAATATCTGAATATAAAGCTGATATATTTTGAAATGATAATGTTCTATATCTATGTAGAACTCGTTACCGAATAATTATGTTTATTAATAATTAATATAACTTAACACGTTATATTATGCGTTTATATTATATTAACATTAACAGTAATAATATATAATGAAGGAGGATTCATGTTTCAGCAGCTGTAGTAATAGAAAATACAAAAAAAAAGTTTAAAGTTTGTGTGTTTTTTCAATAGAAAAATGAAAAAAATGTACATTTCATCAGCTGTTTTTCTACACTGTATTAATAATTTATACATTTCATAAATTGAAAATTATATTTTCTAGTAGAAAAACACGTTTCGTCATATATATATATGAAAAAAAAAATACATTTCTGAAATTAAAATCTGTACTTTTCAACTGTCGAAAGGAAGAAAATCAGCTGATGAACGTTTCCTTTATTTAGAATATTTGTATATTTCAGATATGAAAACTACAGTTTTTCAATAGTAAAAAAATAAATTGTACATTTCTGAAACCAAAATTAATATTTTTCTATAAGCAACGAGGGATGGGGGAAATGTAAATTTCATCAGCTGACGAAATGCTTTATATTAAAAATTTGTATATTTTAAATATGAAAATTAACTTTTTTGACGGAATTTTATTAATAAAAAAAAAAACTATATTTTTTAAAATTAAAATTGTTAAGAGGAGGAAAGAGAGGGGGGGGTGTACAATTCATCAGCTGACCAAATTTTCTATACTAAACAATTTAACATATGTTTTTAAAAAATTCTTAATTTTCATTAATTTATAAAACTAAAATTTATATTTCTCGACATGCAAAAGAGGGAAGAGAAATATAAAACTCATCAGCTGACGAGCATTTTTTAAAATCTAAAACTCATGTTTACAGCTGTATGACTCGAGCAAAAGAAGTAAATATTCCCCTCGCAAAAACAAACTCCGAACATCTGAGAATGATTCATAGATTTGAAAATTATACGTCTCGCAAATTTAGAAAATTGTTCACGAATTATAAAATTTCGTATCAAAAACTTATTTATATACAAGTATAAATATACTTAACGAGATATTCATACTTACTTGAAAACAAGAATGAGGAAGCATTTTAATGTTGAAAGTAAATCAGAACCAGGATGTTACGACAAATACACACAATATACAAACGAGAACACGATAATTACAAACCAAATACAAACCCGGATGATATTTAGAAAGTGTATCTACTCAGGAAACAGGCTCAACCTATATTAAAGTATATGTGTTACATCTCTATAGTCTATACATTCAATTGGAACAAAAGTTAATCATTCTTCTGGACCATTATTGAATACATTTAAATTCAATAGTTTCTCGTATACATCTGATATCAATTATCTTCGGTTATGCGAAGCGTTACGGGGTATCAGAATTCAGAAATACGCCCATTTTTCGCTGGGTTATCAGTACAATTTACAAAACAGAACAAAAGATTTGGCACTGTTCCACACCTTTGTTTGAAAGGAACACGTTTTCTTACCGCCTAGCCCCAAATCTGAGTCATTAACGTCAGAGGTAATCATCATTCATGCACCTTCGATCATTTTTAAAGTGGTTTGCATCACCCATTTTTTTTTTTTTTTTTCCTGAGCCATGCATGGAGGAGACAATTCGAGCCTCGCCAATTTTTATTATCGTCTCTAATTGTTAAAAAAAAAAATGATAATTTGGCAAGCTAAACGTGTTAATTCGGAGCCGAAACCAGCAAAAAAAATTCCTGGCATATCGGCGTACAAACTCCATATCAAATGATTTGCATCAATTATACTACTTATGTAATTTGTTTATTTATGTAGCAACCCTTAAATAAATTCAAGTGTTGCACAATACACGACACACGTTGCGAATGCAAACTTTCTACACGAAAAAAAACAATTTTTAAGAATATTTTTACGTGCGCATCCTCTGGATATTAACGATGGAAACGGAGTTTTTACTCCAAACAAACGTCACACGGAGCTAATACACAGAAAGTGAAAACGTGTAGAAGAAAAGACCCGGCGAAACGGGGCAAAGTACCGCGACTTAGTAACCCCCAGGCTAAACATACCAATCCGGTCATGTACACCACTCACCTTATATATCAAGTCTTGCAGAATTTACTGTTTCCCATTGGCTCCCTGTGCATAATAACACATCGTTATATCGTAAAGTATCTTAGTATCGAGGGGCTAAACATCATATCACACAACCAACAACTTTTACCAACCACACATACTTCTGTTCGACAAGCTTCTGTCTCGGCCTCCTAGCGGATGTATGCCGCTAACGCCGTATTGATCATGTCGTAGCATTTCCCGGCAAGTGGCGCCCTCTAGTGGTGTATAAATGTCAATTGATTTTTCTCCTCTAGTGTTGCCAGGAATATAAAAAAAATAATAGAAAAAAAAATGGCTCGTAAATAAAATAAGAAAATCGTGTTGGGAATTGGCCGCCGGTTCTTTTTTTTCGTTTCCTTAATTTTATTTTTAGAAATTTTATGCTTGAAAATAGATACAATTAATTAGTTAAGTATCCGTAGTGCAATCTTCCATCCTACACTCTTCAACTTTTATTCGGCGCTTGTTGAAAGATGATTCTGTTTAAAGGTATCGGGTGAGCCTTTGTTTAACTAGAATTTAATTTATTTAAGTTTTAAAATTAAATTCTGATCTCTTCTTTTAAGATGGCTTCCAGGATTTTCTCCCCTTATTCCCTTTTAAATTAGAATATTTTGAAGTGAATCTGCAGTAAAAAGTGCTTCGAGTGTGTTGACTCGAATGTCAAGTGAAAGAACGTTAACTGGAATTTTATTTTTGGTGGGTTTATTAACGCCTGACATCGGCAAGTTTTTATACGACTAGACATAATTACGCTTATTATGGGTGAACCTGACCCTCAATGGGTTCAAACAGCATGGACGAGGAACGGGAAACGATGTCCCGATTCCTATTGCCCATGATAAGTAATGGGGTATATACATAGTTCGAACCTCGCCCTAGATTATAATGATCAATTATGGTAGTCTGATAGTCCGAATTTGGGTTCCTCAGAGGTTTAGTTTATTTGTATACGGCAACGCGACACACGGGCCATATTCTGAAGGGAGAGGACTTTCTAAGGTAAATTGACCCCTGTTTAGGTGTTACAAACGTGAATGAAATGCGGAAAACTCTACGCGGCCAGCCCTTTGGCGAGGCACGAACCCACGACTAATTGTGTTATGGGGCTTTAACCACTGGTGGTCTCTTATTGCGCGACTATATGACAAACAAATTGTATTTCAAATATATTTTTCGTATGAATTTTTAACAAATTTCAGAAATTAATGTTTATTTTCAATATTTCTAGAATACTAAATGCTGTTTATATCTGTTACGTTTTATGTTGCCTATCGTTTTTTGGGCTTTTAAAAGTTCCTGCGTTATGTACAGTTCTTTGCGTTATTAATAGATAAGTAATTAAAAATATATATAAAATGATTACGGAAAATATGACTTTTAAGGTAATTGCTAGCATCCAGAAAGTGAAAAATTACAAATTTTTACCGAGAGCGACTAGTTCAAACGGCAAGCGAATCAATAATATGGCAGTAAGTAAACACTTGCAAAAATTGTTTCAGAAGATTAAACATCTGGAAAACACGTAAATCGGTAAACACTTGTCAGGTTAAAGTAGGGGGAGGAAGTATCAATGGCTAAAAAGTAAAGTTCTTGTCAAAAATAAAGTTTCAAACAGCAATTTCCTTAATGCAACAACTCAAAAATCATTAAATTTAATGTAATCAACTCGTAGTTTGATCGTCAAGAATATCGTGTAAAAAAGTTATATTATTGATCATGTAACATTTCAG